AAACTTCCCCCCAATAGCGGGACCATCCCCCCTCCCCCCGCCCCCGCTTACATTAGCATGCTTCGGATCAATACGGATTTTCTAAAAGCCACAAGTATTATCAACCCAGCAGATTTTATGCCCTGGTTTCGTTATCTTCCAATTCCCATTGTCAAGGCTGCCCAGGGATTTTATGAGGTCTTAAATAACTTCATTGCACAACGAGTAGAAGAACATTATACCACATATGATAAGGTGAGGTTTCAAAACTATAGATCGATAACAACAATTTTGTAATTAATATTCTCTACTTGGTGGTGATAGGGGACTTCAACTATCCAGACATACATTGGGAAACTAACACAGCAGGGCACAGATTATCCAATACGTTTTTGGACTGCCTTGGAGACAATTTTTTCTTTTAGAAGGTTGAGAAAGTTACTAGGGGTCAAACTGTTCTAGATTTGATTTTTAACAAATAGAAAAGAACTGATTGAAAATTTGAAAGCGGAAGGCAAATTGGGTGAAAGTGATCATGAAATATTAGAGTTCATGATTCTAAGGAATGGTAGAAAGGAGAACAGACAAATAGAGACAATGGATTTCAGGAAGGCAGATTTTAGTAAACTCAGAAAGATGGTAGGTAAGGTATCATGGGAAGCAACATCAAGAGGAAAAACAACTGAAGACAGTTGGCAGTTTTTCAAAGGGACATTACTAAGGGCCCAAAAGCAAACTATTCCACTGCATAGGAAAGATAGAAAGTATGGCAAGAGAACACCTTGGCTTAACCAGGAGATCTTACATGATATAAAAATCAAAAAGGAGTTGTATAAAAAGTGAAAACTAGGTCAAATTAAAAAAGGATATATATAAGTTGAGGAGCCGGATCTGGCCTCTGAGCCAGTATTTGTCCACCTCCAGTATCAGACGATCTAAAGGAAATAAAATCAGCATGGAAACAAATGTGCTTAGGAACTGGTCTTTCTTAATTTCAGAAGAAAATTTCCACGAGGCCACTTCTACTAACTGATGCGTTAAAAAAATCCCTATAAACCTGGTGTCATATTCTAAAAGAGATATGTTTAAAGGAAATGCCTACTAACATTTACAGGTTTCTTTTTTAATTTGTTCACAATGAACAGTTTTGGTCCTGAGTAATGTAAGGACCTGATTCTCCTATCACATGCACTGGTTTTACAACACTGGACCCAGCTTCATGACCTTGAGTGGAGAGACACTTCAGATTTGTGTGAGTAAGCACTGGACCCAGCTTCATGACCTTGAGTGGAGAGAGACTTCAGATTTGTGTGAGTAAGTGAGGTGTAGGACATGGTTCTCCTCTCAGACACCAGGAGATTACTTACAGGTTATCATAAGGAAATTTCTTGAGTGTTCAATCAGTTCAATCCCATTTACTTCACTAAGGGATTTGCCTGAGTAAAAGAAGGGGCAAAATCAGAAGTCTGGGTTCCTCCTTCTTCCGTGGCTGTCTGTTGTGATACTCCATTCTTCTTCCCCAGCTCCTCTTATTCCATCTGCAACCTATCAGCACAGCTCCCCTAGTCATCATTTCCAGCTATGAGGGGTTCGACAGATAATTTAATACAGTCCCATTATACATGATAATTTGTCTAGGCAGAATTTGTTTTTTATAATTGTGACAGATTTTTATCCATTTAAATTTTCAGAGATGCATAAAATCATTCATTTTGTTTAAATTTGTATCTATCTGAATTTTCATAATGGTGGGAGATGATTGGGTATGGGTCAGACAATTATTTGATGACAGTAGACATTGAGTTATAAATGAAGTTAAAGCTTTATATCCCTTTAAGCTCTAATACTTTCGGAAGCAACATTTTTCTTACCTTGCCTATATGTATATTTTAATTATTATTAAATGACCTTCAAAAACTAGTTTGGTGAAACTGATGTTTACCAACATCTACTGGTTAAAAATATCTTCTCTTTCCTAGACTAATCATAATACAGCTCCACTGTAATGCAGCCCCACTTCTCATTGGTTCTCTGAAAGATCGGTGAGGTGATAATGGATAGCTCCCAAAGCTAAAGCACCAGCCCACCCATGTCCCTGCCGGCTCTTTCCTTATCCCTAGACAGGCAAAGGCATGGTCCAGTACTGGAAGACCTTTCATTTGGGTAGATCAATAGTACAGGACTGCACGATTTTACCTTTTACAATGATGAGTGGCAGAGAGATTTGTCTAAAGGCACAAAGGGCAGTTAGACAACCAAGTTGCATTGGGAAGTCAGGCTACATGTTGCGTAAAGCAAAGTCCATTTAGCCTGGATATCTGAGTCCAATAATCTTCCAAAGTAAATCTACAATATAATATCTATATATTATTAAACAAGCACTCAGATGAATTCAATTATCTGTATTTTTTTTCCATTTCAGGAGTAATCAAATGAAACAAGCTTTCCATTTCTGCTAGGAAGAAGTACATATTTTCAGTCAACATTTGATAGAATGCTGCCAGATTCTCATATAAAATTTAACTTAATTGATTGAACGATATTATTCTGGATTTACAGAATTTAAATGAGAGCAGAGTCTGGACTATGTTTTTTAGAGCTAATACTGACTATTGCTTAATTTTGTTTTTCAGAAATATACAGAAGTCAGTACTTTTCTAAACTAAATTTCCATGCGTCATGACATAGCTTTAAAAATATTAATTGTACTTGCAAGAATAGTCTTAGCAGGAATTTCCAAGATTCATATATGCTCTGTGAATTTCAGGTTAGAACACTACTTGCTATAGAAAGTTCTGTGAAAGCTTTTTGGATGAAAATAGTATCACAGATTTTGTTTTTGTTTTTTAGAATCATCTCAGAGACATTACTGATGCTCTAATAAGTTTAAGGAATGACAAAAGACTTGGTGGAAAAGCTCCGGTCTTATCTAATGATAAAATAATAACTACAGTTAATGACATCTTTGGAGCTGGTAGGTATTAAAAAATCCAACCAACTTTTTAAACTCTTGAGAAATTTTAAGTGTAGTTCAACTGGCATGTAAATATTTTCATAGAAAAATCAGGCCTCTTACGTACATCAGTTTTATACCAGTGCAACACCTCCAACTTCCGTTATGATTTGTGTGTTTCATCTTATTTGTATGATGGCAGTAACCTGGTGATCCATTTATTTTGCAGGGTCAAAATTGTATTGTTGATACAGTTTCAACATGTTGTTTTGGATTTTCCTATATTTGGTTAAGAACCCAGACATTCAGACAAAAATTCAAGAAGAAATTGGTAAGGTATTTACTTTTTTAAAAAATGAAGCCTTTTGCTGTTTTCATGAACCATGTTAAACATTCCTGGGTTTTTTTCTTGGAAGATGAAAAGATTGGACTCAGATCACCTAGATTTGATGACAGGAAAGATTTGCATTATACAGAAGCTTTCATAAGTGAAGTCTTAAGGCACACTTCATTTATACCACTTACCATTCCTTACCGGTAAGAAGCAAAACGCAAGCTTGTTTCTGTCTAAATAAAATAAGTTGGAGAAATAATTATCATCCTTGCTTTCTTCATTTGAGACTGAAATCCCAATTTGTATATTTTAACTAGAGACAAGGTTAAATATTTGAAGGAAATTAAGTATTTGAATACTGTTATAGCAATTTTCAGAGGGGTAGAGATATGAGTCTATTTCAGCAAAAACAACCAGGAGTCCAGTGTCACCTTAAAGACTAATACATTTATTTGGGCATAATACATTTGAAAGACTAATAAATTTATTTGGGCATAATACATTTATTAATATTTAAATAGCCCACAAAAGCTTATGCCCAAATAAATGTGTTAGTTTTTAAGGTGTTGCAGGCCTCCTGGTTGTTTTTGTTATAACAGTGCCTCCCATCCACTGCTTAAAATGAGCACTTTAGAGCAAATACTCAGCATCAATTCATGGAGTTCCATAGAAGTAAAATAGAACTCTATTTATTTATACCAACTATCTTCATCTTACACCATAGATATTTAGGGCCCCATTCCGATTTTTAAGGTGTTGCAGGCCTCCTGGTTGTTTTTGTTATAACAGTGCCTCCCATCCACTGCTTAAATTCTCCACATTTTTCGTGAAATGTGGTGCCCAGAACTGGACACAATACTCCAACTGAGGCCTAACCAGCACACAGGCTGTGTCTACACTGGCAAGTTATTCCGGAAAATCAGACGCTTTTCCAGAAAAACTTGCCAGATGTCTTCCTCAATGAGCACTTTAGAGCAAATACTCAGCGTCAATTCATGGAGTTTCATGGAAGTAAAATAGAACTCTATTTATTTACAATGAGCACTTTAGAGCAAATACTCAGCATCAATTCATGGAGTTCCATAGAAGTAAAATAGAACTCTATTTATTTATACCAACTATCTTCATCTTACACCATAGATATTTAGGGCCCCATTCTGATCTCTCTTATACCAGTATAAATCAACTGGCCAGCCGCTTTTCCGGAAAAACTTGCCAGCTGTCTACACAGGCCGCTTGAAAATTTCCCCAAAAGCACTGACTTCCTACTGTAAGAAATCAGTGCTTCTTGCGGAAATTCTGTGCTGCTCCCATTCAGGCAAAAGGGCCAGTGTAGACAGCTCAGATTTGTTTTCCACAAAAAAGCCCCAATTGCGAAAATGGCGATCGGGGCTTTTTTGCGGAAAAGTGCCTCTAGATTGGCACGGATGCTTTTCCGCTAAAAGTGCTTTTGCAGAAAAGCGTCCATGCCAATCTAGACGTGCTTTTCCGAAAATGCTTTTAACTGAAAAACTTTCTGTTAAAAACATTTCTGGAAAATCATGCCAGTCTAGACGTAGCCTATCTGAAGTCAGTTGTTGTACACTATGTATATGAGTATGAAAGCATATTAGGCCTTTAGTTTGCAGGAACAGCTACTGTAGATAAAGGAGATCAAATCTGGTGCCTCATGACATTGTCTAGCATTCAGTAATATTAAGTATGATCATCTAACTCATTAGATATAAGCATAGGGATGAAAAAAGTTTTATTATTTTGTTCCCTAAATGTTCAGAGAATTAGCATATGTTGATGTGATACATTTTCCTTTTCTAGTGCAACGAAAGAAACCTTTCTCAGTGGATACCTCATTCCCAAAGACACCTGTATCTTTGTTAATATGTATCAAGTAAATCATGATGAGTAAGTATCTGACAATTTCATTTGTATGTTTCATAATGACATTTGGCACTTTGTTAAAATCAGTATTTTTACTATGTTTATAAGAGGATAGATTGTGTTCACTTGGGCATACCACATATAAAATAGTAATGTACAAGGATCGGGAAGTAATCTCATTCTCCTCAAAATAGTTTATGAAGATGATTAGAACAGGGACAGAGCCATTAGGATGATTAGAACCAATCTTCGGGCTACGTAGTACAGTATCCTGTCTCTAACAGGGGTCAACATCAAAGCCTCCCCGGAACCCGCCCAAAATTCACCTGATCAATATATATGTCTGATATGGTGCTGAGATTATTTCCAGACCCATGCTGTAAAACAAAGCCTGATAATTGTGGTAATTTTAGCCTAGATATTGCAATGCCCTATGCTTTTCTGGTAAAGGTAGAGTCAAAATCTTCAGCTGAGTGTGAAGAGTTCTCAGTGCAGCTGAATCGGGGATGAACAGGTGTGTTTAGGCCACTGATACATTCCTCTAATTCTGGGGGTGTCTGCCTAGGCCCTGACACAAGTCAAAACTTCTCTGTTTTATACCTGCTATCCCTGGCCCCAGGGAGTCAGCCCTACAACTGGAGATCACTGGGCTACAGGGACACCCAGGCCACACAAACATGATGCCTCTACCAGTCCAAGGAGTACCCAAATGGACAGTTAAACTAGCTTTAGGACTGGTTTTCACCAGATAAATGAGCAGGAGGTTTGTTATGCTTTGTTCTTTACCCACTGTGGCCCTGAATCTGATCTTGCTAAAACAGAATGTACCTCAATGTAATGCTGTTGTCTTCATTGGACTTTCTCCTTTATGCTGGTCTCAGTGAGAGCAGAGGCAAGCTCCATTTATTAATCATTACCTGAGGGAGGGAACATTTCTCCCAGATTCCCTTCGTGTAGTTTCCTTCCAATTTGCTCTGTCAGTGAATCAGGGATCCCCACATTGTGATCTTTAGGGAATCAGGACAACCTATGTGGAGAACCCATGCCTCTGGACTGATATGTTATTTACCCACTGCAGTCTCTACTGGGTGCAGGTAGATATAGCATGCAGCCCCACAGCACTGTCCACTGCTGTTCAGGTTCACCCATAAGGAATCTATTCTATACATGGATCAAGGGAAAACAGCCAAGTCATACATGATGCAACAAAATTCCATTACGTGATCTCTTTACACAAGTCTGTGATTTATTGAAAAAAAAAAACAATGCAAATTTCATTTAGACTCATTTAGAAACTCAGATGCTCCGGTTGGCATAAGTAAATAGATTTATTTAGAAGTACAAGTTCCGTGTTTCTGTCTCTGTTTTCTGTACATGTAAGGGCATCTAAAAATTCATTTCTTTTTTCCATAGAACATTATGGGAAAATGCTGATTTGTTTAGACCAGAGAGATTTCTGAATGAAAACGGTGAACTCAACAAAGGCCTCATTGAAAAAGTTTTGGTTTTTGGAATGGGAATAAGAAAGTGTTTGGGAGAGGACGTAGCTTGGAATGAGATTTTTATTATTCTTACCAACATTTTGCAACAGCTAAGGTGGAATGGGAATAAGAAAGTGTTTGGGAAAGGACATAGCTCGGAATGAGATTTTTATTATTCTTACCACCATTTTGCAACAGCTAAGACTTCAGAAATGTCTTGAGGACCAGCTAGATCTGACTCCAAAATATGGATTATCCATGAAACCTAAACCATATCAAATTCAAGTGGCACTGCGCACCTGAACAGTACATACAGAGGAGCTGCACTTTAAAACAAAACTATCACCAGTAAA